TTTTGGTATTATATAGTAAATTCTTGGGGTTTTATTACAACTTTTGGTATTGTAAATAATTTTTAGGTTTTATTTCTGTGACTTTTAGCATTGTATAGTAAATTCTTAGGTCTTCTTCCTAGATTTTTGGTATTGTATAGTAAATCCACAGGTTTTTCTTTGAGACTTCAGCATTGTATAGTAAATTTGCAAGTTTTTTCTCTATGATTTTTAGTGAATTCTTAGGTCTTCTCCTCTAAATTTTTGGTACTATATAGTGTTTTTTTCTAGGACTTTAGCATTGTATTGTGAATTCACAAATTTATTTCAAAACTTTTGCCATTATATATTGAATTCTGCAAGTATTTGTCTTTGGACTTTCAGAATTTTATAGTAAATTCTCAGGTATTTTCTCCAAACTTTTGGTATTGTATAGTGAATTCTCAGGTTTTTGTCTGGGACTTTCGGTATTGTATAGTGAGTTCTCAGAGTTTCCCCAGGACTTTTGGCATTATAATTTTAGTACTGTGCAGTAAATTCTTATATATTTGCCTCTAGGTACTTCTGGCATTGTATAGTGAATTCTCAGATATTTGTTCTTGAACTTTCAGTACTATATAGTGAATTCTCATATATTTGTCTCTATGTATTGTATAGTAAATTATCAGGTATTTGTTCCTGGACTTTCAGTGTTGTATTACAAATTATTAGGTCTCAAGTTTTTTTTTTGGGACTTTTAGTATCATATGTTGAATTCTACAAGTATTTGTTTTTAAACTTTCAGAATTTTATAGCAAATTCTTATATATTTTTTTCTCTAAGCTTTTGGTATTGTATAGTGAATTCTCAGCTTTTTGCTCTGAGACTTTTGGTGTTATATAGTAAGCTTTCAGAGTTTTCCCAGGACTTTTGGCATTATAATTTTGGTACTGTGTAGTGAATTCTTATATATTTGCCTTTAAATACTTCTAGCATTATATAGTAAATTAGGTATTTGTTACTGAACTTTTGGTGTTGTATTGTGAATTATCAGATCTTGAAGTTTTCTCTAGAACTTTTAGTATTATATAGTAAATTTTACAAGTGTTTGTCTTTAAACTTTTAGAATTTTATGGTGAATTCTCAGGTATTTTTTTCTAAACTTTTGGCATATATAGTGAATTCTCAGGTTTTTGCTTTGAAACTTTCAAAGTTGTATAGTGAGCTCTCAGATTTTTTTCAGAACTTTTGGCATTATAATTTTGGTACTGTGTAGTGAATTCTTAGATATTTGCCTCTAGGTACTTCTGGTTAGAGTTGCAACCCAAACCTACTAGTTTGAGATTTTGTAGAAACCCAAATAGTATTTACTAGATTTCGCAAAATATATCTAATTTGCCGTAATGTCAAACATTTATAACATGTAACTTGTATTATAGCTAGAAGTTCCAAATTTTTATATGTAAAAACTGATTTGAGTTTAAACTCAAATAAGAATAAGACACATAGTATATATTTGATTAAATACAATATAACATATCACTTGATATTCAGTATTGTAATTTTTTGGTATTGATGACAGTTTTGCTAAAAATTCATATTATTAAACTAAAAAAATCTTTCTTGGTTACTCTATTAATAGTGGTTATATGATCTTTTGATTGATCTAATTGATCATAATTACTGTTAGGCAAAAGATCTTTTACTAAATTAACAAAGAGATTATAAATTTGAATAAAATCTAATACAAGAGTCTAAAGATTTATTATTATGCAATAGCAGATTTTATGTAATTAAAGTAAAGAAAATTATACAACTCAATTTATATAAATAAAGAGAGTTAAATTTTTTTAATTTTCTATTTTAAGTTATATGCTAATTTTTATTTTGCAATTTTTTAATTATATATAGTTCTATTTTCTCATTTAAGATATTGAGATAATATTATATTTATTTTAGACATAAAATTGGTTTTGAAAAGGTTTTTATTTTAACTTTAATTTATTATTCTTGTATTACTTTGAAAATAAAACAAAATAACTCAATTTTTATTTAGATAAAAAAAATTCAAATATTTAGGAAAATATACACAGTATTATTTACCTAAATCACTATTACTTAACATATCTTGGACCAAAAAACTATTTTCAAAATTCATATTTATATCTTCTTTGGCCAAAATAGATTTATTTTGATTATTATTTAATCTAAATATCGGATCTGACATATTTACCCAATCTTGAAAAGCTATTGTAATTTTATTTGTAGTAAAGTTTATGATTTTCTCTTTATAAGGGTGTAGCGACATAGTGAAGTGGTAGAGTTGTTATCCTCAAGTAGCAAGGTCTAGGGTTCAAATCCTACCGGTGACGAAAATTTGAAAACTACTTCTTGTATATCCCTTCTGGATATGTCAACTTAATCTGTAGTGGCATTGTATGCTGTAACCGAAAGGGCGCGGACCAGGGGTACTGCTCCTGGGAGTACTGCAGTGTAACAAGATCTACGGTAGAGCGTTCATTTGGGAAAAAACCTGGATGAAGGAATGCAAACTAGTGCATGTTGGCGCAAACACAAGATAAGCCTCTATGGTAGACCCTGATATAGAAGTGGTACGAACATCAAGACCTCCGGACTAACC